TGTGGGCAGCGCTGCTGGGAGTCAAGGGAGATATTGAAGAGCAATATGAGAGAATTGATAAGGAAACTCCTACACCCACGGACAGACAGGTCAAATATGATTCTAACTATCATGTAGTCGGTACAATAATTCTCTGAGAATTCGTTTTAATTTTAGAATATTTTAAAATAAGGAAATATTTGCAAAGCTTAAACCCACACTTCTTTATTATTTATGATATGATAATGACGGCTTGTTCCGTTTACCTAACTAAATAGACAAGCCGTAATCACAGCATATTTTTGAATTAACTATTTTTAATAAAAAAGCCCGACACTTATGTCATGTATATAAGCTTTATATTTTCATGCTATTTAATTTAGGGGGTGAGTAAATTGGCAAAAAATGATGCACAAGAAAGGGACAAAAACTACAAGCCAATATCAACAAGGCCTTTGCCTACGTTGTTATTTATGCATGTGAGAATTGAATGAAGTTTTTTTTATTGCGAATGGAGCCGCACTGGAACAGCTAAAGTTTTCATATTGAACTATAAAGCAATTGCTTTGATAAAAGTTTTAGATACGCAATATTTTTTATAATTTTTACATCTGATCGTACCATTTGTATTGCTAGATTGATGTTGACATCCCCCGTTGTCATCAATACTGCTGGCTGCTCTGTGGCTCCGCGGGTCATCGGACACTTAAAAGGTTGTTAAAGGCCTGGCTGCTAACCAACCCTCAGTACGTCTACTGGCAAGGGTTAGACTCTTTAACTGCACCCTTTTTATACTTGAACTTTTGTAATGAAGGTAAATACGAAAAAATAATTCTGGATTTATTGTTTTTAACAATTTAAATAGAACGCATCTTTATTGATGTTAATTACGATTTTCAGCTCGTGCATTCGCTTGTTTGTCAGCGTTTGTACCGAAATTTCTTCACAAATTCTTTCTGAAAGACAACAGCGCGGTGATAAAGGAGTACTTGGCCAAGTTCTGGCAAATGGCCGCCTTCCACGAGCCGGAGCTCGCCACGCATCTGCACGAGATCAACTTTGTACCAGAACTGTTTGCGATACCCTGGTTCCTTACTATGTTCTCACGTGAGTTTTAAATGTAAATAATCTGTTAACTTTTAAAGATTATTGCATCTTGTGATAAGGATAATATTCTTTACGATAAATACGATTTACTGTTTATTTTAAAATCACATATTTAAACTCAAACTGTATCCCAAATTATATCCTTAGACACTGTTTAGTTAAGCATTTACTTATTATCAATATGAAGATGTATGGAGGTGCTCAACACCGATTTTACGTGATTTTGTCTTGACAGTCAAGACAGATAGAGTCGAGTTTAAAGTAGGGCAATGGTTACTGGTAGGGCGGAATAAAATCTTAATTAATTTGCCCTTGAACGGACAAAAGAATACAAAAAGGTATTCCTTACCCTGTATATTCAGCAAAGTTAAGATTCCTATGGAATTGTTCTCACACAGTTTAATCATAATTTATTGTAGTTAGTGTTTTTAAATAAGGCATTGTGATTTTAAGGCTGGGAAGTCCTCCCTTCCCCTTATATACTGCCTTGACAGCTACATCAAAAAGTCTGCCTCTATTGCAGACGTGTTTCCGCTGCACAAGATAGTGCACCTGTGGGACGCGCTGCTGGTGGAGGGGGGCGCGCTGCCCCTCTTTATGGGGGTGGCGCTGCTCCGCCAGCTCAGAGACACGCTGCTAGACTCCGGCTTCAACGAGTGTATTCTACTCTTCTCTGATCTACCAGAGATCGACATCGGCGAATGTGTTATGGTAATTAACTAAATTAGAGCTTAAAAAAAGTGTTTACCCTACTTTGCTTGACTTTGGGTTCTTTACTAAACTAGCTAAAAACATAAAAAAAAACATATACAAATATTAATTGTAATATAATAATTAATTATTACAATTCAATATAAACATTCTATGTTTAATGGCATCAAGCTGTGTTAACACAATTATGTAAAACTGTTTTGTTGAAATGAATAAAAAAAAACTGTCGATCGCTATTTTATCCACTGAGAATGAAAAAGAACTTAAAATATGTTCTACGTCTATGCAAAATTTCAGCGAGAGTCATTGAACCTTCCTGAATATACTTAGTAACAAACATCCATCCATCCATAATAGTAAAGTGAATTGTTTTTGTAATCGTTGTGGTTATCTTTTAAAATATTTGCAGGAATCAATAGAAATGTGTAGAAGTTCTCCAAAGAGTATAAGTTACAGAAGATTCACGAATGAACCTGAAATAAAAGACCCAATGGTAAGTTATAATACAAATATGTGTACAAAAATAGATGATTTCAACATAGTTTTGTATCAATGCAATGAAAACTTACGTTTAGTCTGCAATATATAACACTAGCTTTCGCCCGCGACTCCATCCGTCTGGAATTAAAAAAAATCAAATGTGAGTAGCCTATGTGTTTTTCCAGACTGTCTACGACTATGGCAAATTTTATAGCGATCCGTTCAGTCATTTAGGCTAGCTAGTAAACATCCATCCATCTCAACTTGCATTTATAATGTTAGTAAGATTACCACTTTTCACAATTATTTTTATTACGTAGGTATTAACGCTCGGCATGCCGACGTTATCTGTGAGTCGAATCAATTCAATACACTCTAAATTGATTCTGTACAAATAAAAGCTAACGTTCTTACTGAATTCCATCGATTGCGTAAAAAATTTTAACTCTCTACAACTTTTAAAATGCAAACTGTTTAGTTACTGAGTTTCTAAGTTGAGTTTCACGGTTTCATAAGTAAAAAGATGAAATTCCAGTAAAATAGTGAAATTTTGTGTTATTATGGATACTAGCTTCCGCCCACGACTCCATCCGCGTTGTATTAATAAAAAAAAAGAAAGTAGCCTACGTGTTCTTCCAGACTATCCTCTACATGTATGCCAAATTTCATCCAGATCCGTTCAGTCTTTTAGGCCACAAAATCTAATAAACATCCATCCACCCATGCAAACTTTCCACATTTATAACATTAGTAATTAGTAAGATTAACGTCTAAAGACAATGTATATCTATACTATTATAATAAAGCGTAAACGCACACTTCTTTGTTGCCTAAGATGTCAGCAATTACAGCATATTTTTGAATAACTCTTTTTTAAGAAAACGCCCTACACTTACGTCACGCTTTAGGCTATATATTTTCACGCCATTAAAGTCAGAGGGTAAATATTTTGGATAAAAACCCTAATGTAGGCAAGAGACCATAAGTTGCTGTCAACATCAAGGAAGCAAGGTTGCCATGGTTTGTCATCGTCATGTCATCTTGACATTTGCAATTGATAATTTGACACATGTGAACAGTAAAATAAAATTTTCATAATTTTATGCGGATGAAGTCGCACGGGAACAGCTAGTTTTTTATATTATTTAAGAATTAATTACTACATGAGGTCGCAAAATCTTTAATTATTATTATATTAGCACTAATAACCTACAAAAATTATGTACATACTGTTATTAAAATATGAAATAATGCAAATGAAAGCAATAATCTTAATTAGGACGATTACCATTTTGCAATCGTAGTAAGCAATTCAGTTGACGATGTATTTTTTACTTAAAAATATAGCGCGTATTTCAGTTGCGAAATAAACAAAGAGAATGTTCTAGAACATGTGACATAGATATTTGTGATGCCTGCTTTATCAAGCAGCGCGTGGCCTAGGCCAGGCTAGGCATTAATAAATCATACCTCCATACTGTGTTTTATCGAATTTTTATGCAAATACCTAAAATAATTACCAACTTAAAGCAATGCGCTTGTGTTACCTAATGTCGAAACAACTTGTTTGATAGTTTATGAACAAATTGTCAGTTTCAAATCATTCTCGGATCCAGATTTTATTTGTAATTCAATAAATCATAATAGTATACATTTAATAATATTAACAAACTATAAAAATCTCTCTAATGGATATATGATTTAAAAATGTTTATATTTTTAGGGCCTGTCCCACCACTGGCTGATAGAAGCTCAGATAACTTAAAAATGACGTCACTGTCATAGAAGGGAATAAAATCCGATATTTCCATCACATATTTTACGTTTTGGATTGTTATCAGATAATTTACAACTTGGTCAGACAGGCCCTTAATGTTTTAAATATTAATTGGTTTATGGTTACTGAAACGACATTTATGGTAAATATGTAGCAGCTCAAATGATAAGACCATGCTTAAACTTCAAATTCCATTAAAGTTTTGCATCGGACAGGTAATAAGCGGCATTTACGAAGCGAGGTGAATATTCGATTCAGTATTCGGCCAATTGGTTAATCTTTAAAGGTTAATCAGTCAATTACTGATGTCCTAAAAAGTCGAATAACGAAAAAAATAATTTAAAAAATTATGTAAGTTCTTTTTTTAAACAGGATATAGTAGAAATACCAATGGAAGTGCTCTTGTCGGAGATCAGTCCACGCATCAGCATGTCTGACTTCTTCTCGCTGACCTGTCAGGACAAGTGCTGCGTGATCGACATCCGCTCCAATTTACTGTTAGTATTTTTTATCCTATTTGATCTTATCAATAAATATTTTATCTGTGACGTTTCGAGCTGACAGCTGTCATTTGACATTCAGTTAGGCAAGTGTAATCGATTTTTTGTACACTTGTGCAATAATGGCGCCTCTCTATTATTATAATTGAATTACTACTATAGCTTTGCACAATGAAAAGCCACTATTAATATTTACCACATCTTAATACTGGCCAGTTGACAAGCGGTGTTTTAATCATCCAGAAGACATACAAGCCACATAGAATGGTATTCGAGGACGGGTACCATGCTTATAGTGATTTGAATCTTACATAACTCGGTTTTTATCCCAGTAAAGAAGAAAGTAGGTTTTTTTCGAAGATACCCTGCTATCTAACCAGTTGACTTATACAACTTAGGGTCCTTTAAGTAGCAAGCCTATCTCTTTCTCAAAGGCCGGGAATGCATCTGTAGTTCATCTAGTGTTACGAATGTTCATAGGCTTCGATGAGGACTGACTTTTTTATAACATAAGGGGCAAACGAACAGCAGAAACACCAAGATGTTCATCAACGCCCATGGATATCCGCAATACCAGAGGAACTGCAGATGCGTTGCCAGCTTTAGAGATATTCCCTTATCTAATAAAAAGGGGGGAGATAAAAAAGGCTTTTAGTTTCATTTAGTGCGATAGCAATCTATACATATAATAAAATTGGAGTGTCTCTAATATCAAAATAAAAAATTCTAGATTTCGGGAAGAAAATGTATTTGCGTTCTTGATAACAAAAATCGCATTTCATTTTTTTTTGTATGTCTATCTATATTATATACGCTGTCAAAATAGCGACCGGACCTATCCGGAGCTATCTCTGTAACGGGTGGATTTAGACGAGACTTTGACTGAAAGATAGCTGGAATTTAGATGCACGCGGGAATGTGATAATGACTTTTTAAATCTGCGCTAATGAAGTTTGCGGGCACAGCTCGTGTCTAATATCGTATTGTTTATTAGTTACGAGAAGAGCTGTATAGAGGGCAGTGTGAACGTGCCGTACAGCGGCGTGCAGCTGGGCCAGCGCGAGCTGCGCGCGCTCGGGCCGCTCGCGCACCGCGCGCTGCAGCACGCTGTCGCGCACAAGCAGACCGTCGTCATTGCCTCCGCTGAGGAGGAGACCGCACAACTTGTGAGATTATTACACATATCTACCTATACTTCCATACTAATACAATAAAGCGTAAACACAATACATCGTGGCGTAGGATGTTAGCAATCACAGCATATTTTCAAATAAATATTTCTTTAAAAAGACACTTACGACACGCTTTAAGCTATATATTTTCCCGCTATTAAACTTAGGGGGTAAATAAGTTAAAAAAAAACCTTCATGTGCGAAAGGGACCATAAACTACAAACTGCCAACATTAAGGAAGCAAGGTTATCGTTAATTTTGACATTTGCAATTTAAACAAAAAAAATAATGTATTTATAGTTTAATGGATAAAGCCGCACGGGAACAGCTAGTTATAGAATAAAACACAAACTTAAAAAAAATTAAGTTTTGGTAAATAGAACACCCTATAGAAAACAGAATTGAATTCAAGATGTAAATCCTTCTTATTTATTTATAAACTCACTGTTGCCATTGACTTTTTCCGCGCGGAATTACAAACAATAAGTGTAAAGTAGCCTGTGTTCCAGACTATGTTCTACATATGTGTCAAATTTCAGAGAGATCCGATATGTGTGTACGTTGAAAGGTTCATCCACATAAACTTTTATTATATTAGTAAGACTAACATAAGTCAATTTAAATGGCGTTTAAAGACTAGGAATCAATTTTATATTTATCTTTTTTTAATATCAGTCTACTAAAGTAATGAAAACAACTGACCGTAATAAATCTGAACTGATTCTGTTAAAACTCTACTATACGGTGAAAGTAGCTTTTTTTAACGTTGCACTCGGAATCTTAATAACTGAAAGTCATGCAATTCGAGCAAAACAACCGCTTACATCGCCCTTTACTTTAACTCTTCTATATTTTACTCTAATACGTATAAAATCAAATTTAAATTTAAAAATCTATAAAAGAAAATAGGGATTTTCGTTTGTCAATAACGTGGAAACTATTGAATTTATCGAAACAAAACTATAATTATTTAATTCCTTTTATCAAATATTTTGATTTCATTAAAAAATGTGCAAAAAAATTGACAAAGCCGATATCAATAATAATGTTTTTTTACAGTTCAGCGACTATTTAGTGAAATGCAACGTTCCAAGAGTGTGCAAACTGTACGGAGGTATATCCGCATTACATTCTCATGTGCCGTCTCTCTTCATCGTACCCATTAAGAAGACTGGATCCAAATAAACAATTAAATTAAAAATCGATACGCAAAATTATATTACTTGATGTTTGTGCTTTGGATATCCGGCTTGAAGGACCATAATACTCTTCGATAACAGGTTTGTTATTTATTTTTTTTGTTTCCTTTGAAGTTGTAGAAACATAGTTTAAGATTTAAAACAATTTATTTTTAATTTTCTGAAAACAAAAATAAAAACAGACCGATTTATACATATTTAATTATCTATAGTTTTATTAAAATTATGAAATTGGAAAATAAGTATAAATATATGTAAATAAGCTAATAATTTTGTATGATGTAATGTGCAATGATTAGTAATAACATAAGACATTAAGAATTAAGAAATTGAATAATCAAGATCTGTTATATCATTAATCCAGAAATAAATGTTATTTATAGATATGTATGTTATCTGTTATTTTTTCCTTATCTATTAATATAAATAAAACTCGTTAATTACTATCCAACTTAAATGTTAATTAATATAGTGACTTATTTAACGTAATGAAAAAAATAAACTTCGATATAACATAACACAGTAAGGTAATTTCACTTAGATACAAAATCGTATTTTATTATTTGATTCAAAAATTACACTTACCTTGAATCTCTCATAAACAATCTCGTTCCAAATGATACGAGATAACAGGTGGTGTTTGACACCTGTGACATACATCTCGGGCAACCCCCGTGTCCCAACGACTCTTGTTTTTACCCCCTTTAATGTTATGAATGAGCCGCGGGGTGGGGCCGGGGCGGGGGACGCTCGCGGCAACTCCGCGCGCCGCATTCACCGGCCGGACTCCGCCGTGAGCTCATGTCCGTTGAAACTCTCACTCGCAAACCAACATTCCTCGCGTGCAGTGAAATTTTATAAAGTATACACATTTCGACATAAAATCAAATGGGCTTGGAAAGTGAAACATAAAACTTCGTTGTGGTGATACGCAGTGTTCTGTATGAGGTATTATTTATTCGACTTAGTAAAGTGAAGTTTACATTCCTGTCGAGTTTCGCACACTGTTCGGTGGAGGACTGTGGTAGCGTGACAGTTTGCTGGTGTTGTGCGTGATTTTCAACGAGGGAGAGTCTGTCGGTGCGGTAGTCGGCGGCCGTCGTACCCCCGGCCCCGACATGGAGAGCTACTTCGACATCTCCAACGACCTGAAGGATGTCTGGGACGCGGACATCGACCCGGTAAGTCGACCTTGCTGTACTTATCTAGTAAAGGTGAAATTGTTTTGTTTAGCGCGAGGGCGGGAAACCGGTCAGTGTCAGATACAATCACGATATCAGTGATAACAACAAAATAATTGCGAGCGATCTCGCCGGCCTTGTTTTGTACTCGAGCCGGCTATCTACCTGCAACTAAGACGTGCATGTAGACTCTTCGAGTACCGCCCGCACTAATTGTATTACCTATCGGTTTAAATCTAATTTTCGAATGTAACCGTTATCATCGCCGTCTTTGATCACTTCGCGAAAGAACTTTAGACATGTTTCATTTGATATCTACGATATAGATTATTAAAACTAAATATCATGTACACTTGATTAAGTTATCAATAACTTTAAATGTTTATTACACTCGTAAATCGTTTGATGTTCATAAATTCAAAACTTCCTTATTTGTTACATGAGTATTCGTTTATATTTTTGTTGCCAGTGTTAAAAATGTTTGTTTATGATATGAACTAAGATTTGCAGAAACGATTTCAAAACTTTACCTAAATACAAATAAACGTGCTTAATACAGTAAAAATTTATTTGTTACTAAAGTGTGGATGAAAATATTGAAACTGTTGCAAGCGTCGCCGGGCACGAACAGTTAGTTAATTACTTATACATTATGTACCGTGTAGTGCGCGAGCAATCGAGTTTCTATCCTGTTACGAACACTATATAAAATATTCCAGTATTTACTCACCACATGTGCGATGAAGTGTGAAATAAATCGTGGGGAAACCGCTTCTTTCAAATTAACTTTAATGTCCTTAATTTTTTTTTTTTTTCATAAAATGAATTAACACATTTATCATGTTATCTTAATGTTTAATTAAAATTATCTTTATACCGAAATTTTCAAGATCAAAGTTCGGAATTTGAAATCAAATAGATATGTAAATCATATTTCATACTAATATTGTAAATGTGAAAGTTTATATGGATGGATGATTGTTAGAGTTTGTAGCCTAAACTGCTGAACGGATCTCAATAAAATTTGGCATAGATGTAGCGGTTAGTCTGGAAGAACACATAGGCTACTCAGTTTTTTTTTTAATACGGACGTAGTTGCGGACGAAAGCTAGTTAAATAATTATTGTTTTTTTAAGTATATAGCTGTTAATCATTTATTTATTAATGACTTTATTATTAACCGTTAAAGACCTCATTACATCTTAATTACATTTGCAAAACTGTCAGTTTACTAAAGTAATCAATTATGTTGTTATTCGAATTCAATTTGCTTTATTTTTCTTAGAAATTGAATCAAGGAAATCTATTGTAATATCAAAGGTACAATACGCAAGGTACTGTTAATGAGATTCGTATTTTCCCGTAACTCTTAAGGCAGGTTTCCACTACTGAAACACATTTATAGTATTCTACATTACAGCTATAAGGTGGTGTTTACACTGTTTCTTCTCATCACTAACATCATCTAGCAGCCTCTTTAAGTCTACATTTGCCAATGGATGATAATTTCTTATTTGAACATACGTGATGCGCCTCTTTAAGATAACCACAGGCATCACCAATGATCTATGGGAATTCAGCTATCATTAATATAGTCTTGTTCGAAGTAGTTTTCGATTCTCTAGAAAACAAATGCCTTCCTAGCCCCCTCCCTGACGGCGTCCATACTCATAACTATTACTTACACTTAAGACTAAAATAGCGTAATGGTACAAATGTAATAGTAGACAAATGATTTGTTACTATTTTTAGATGAGCAAGTGTTATCGTGAGTTTTTATACCGAAATACATTGACAAAAAGTGATTGTATGTTTTTTGAAGATAATGAGGGGGATGACCATGTATTTTGTACATGTTATTTCGGATGTGAAAACTCGTTTCTTTTTAATGAAAAAAGAAAATAAAAAGCCGTTTATTAAC